TTTTCTTTTTTAAAAAAAGCTTTGAGTTGTGAGTCCCACAGTCATGCATTGTGTATTCATGTATTGTATACTTGTACATAGCATACAAACAACAATTTTAATTTATTAATTTTTAATAAACCAACATGTATTGATTACCAAATTATTCCATATATCCCCGGCATGGTCTTCCAGTCTCCACCCTTTGTACGTTGTCGTTTTTTCCTGTAAAATTTGTTGTGCAGCATTTTAAACCATTTTTAGGTGTTTTTCAATAATGTCATCATTAAATTGGAAATAATTTTCCATTGTCTACATGCATACTTGTCTTGATCAAAATCGGTTAGGTATATGAACAAAAGTTGATTTAGACATTTAAAAGATTATTACGTGTTTATTTCAGACTTTTTTTGTATCCAGTGAAATGTTAATTCTGTATTTGGTTCAAGATAAATATGATGTATAAAACAACACTGTGCAGTTCATGATTTCATATACGTACTACTGTAAATTACTTTATTTTCGCTTGGATTAATTCCCGCTATTGTCACTGAAGGAATGATTCGGTGAAAATTAAATTCAGCGAATATACCTTTTTTCCTGTACTTTACATTCATCTCGTCAAAAATCAGTGAAAAGTAAATTCCATACAAAACACCCAAAATGTCTTTTCAGCAAAAATTAATTCCAGCTAATATAAGTATTTTAGAGTACTGTATTTATTGGGGTATCTGTCACAAACCTGACCATCTCTATTTAATTTAATATTAGGGTAATGATTGATGAACAAGTGGTTCTTGTAATAAAACTACAACATTGTCCCTAAATTATGCAAATTATTCTATATAATGGATATAGCCAGGGCACCTCTGTGATCATTTGGAAAGAGTTGCTTCACAGCATGTGTTCCCTTTATTAAAATTATATTTCAAGATAATACCGAATTCCACCAGACACTTCTAGAATCCCGTTCCAAGGATGGTATTACATCTAACTAACTATAGAGGGCGCCATATGTTCAGCTTGTCTATTATTGAACTGTTATTAAAGGCCCAAATCAGTCACCCAGGGCAATTGTTTATTAGTGTGGCTATGCTAAACTCAAAACAGTCACTGTGGTAATCATAGTCGTATACATCCACTTTAGCACTACACAGTCTATAAGTTGAAGAAAACATGCTTTTATCTGAGCTGTATACAACTGTGAGACTCGCAAGGAAATAATCCCTATTGTTTAGAAGCATATGTATACTCCACTCAAGCCTTTAACCATTTAACAAATTTCAACATGTGCAAGTAGGTCAAGGGTCATCTGGGGTCAATAGGTTGCAAATCATTCATGGATTGCAAGATTACTACAAAGGGTTCAGCCTTCTACAGGTGTGATAAAGCAAGGTAATTTATTTTTATTGCCACTTGCAGAATGTTTACCAGGCCATGTTGTTTTTTATGGATCTTAAGTCTATTGTATGTTTGAAGATAAAAATCCCATAAATAAATTGAGCCGATTTGAATTTAGATTATGAGTATGCAGTTTTAAATGGTAGTTTTGGTGAATCCTAACTTGGAAGGGGGGGGGGCTACTTTTCAATATGTCTGCATGAAAATATTTACTGAAATTGACTGAAAATTTGTATTTTTTTTTTAACAAAATTCCAAGTGTGTCTGGTGGTCGAATCTCTTGATTTCATAAAAAATTACTTATTAAAAAAATATTTCAATAGTTGAATTGTTTGGTTTCAACCAGTGAACTGAATCAAGTTTAATATTTGTGATTAAAATTGTGCAAACCAAGTACTGTAAAGGGGTTAATTATTCACTGGGTTTTAATTTTGCTTATTTCGCTGACTGAAAAATGCGCTAAATTAAAACCCAGTGAATATGTAAAATGGAGCATAGAACACATTATCTAATTGATAAAACCATGATTTTTAAAACCCGCTGAATATGCCTGAAATGGTAAATCAGCGTAATTTAAACCCAGTGAAAATTTGCCATTTTACAGTATTCCTGTTTGCTGTGATTGATAGATTGAGGGCGCTTTTCACAAATACTTGTCAAGAAGAAACTAATCTTTCAATTTTCCCATGCAATGGTGTTATTTTGAGTCATCTATTGTGAGTGTAACTCATTATATACAACCTAAAATGACCCCATAGTTTGTTATTGTTCTAAATAAAAATCTGTCTCAGTTTGGGTCCATCTTTGTTTTGGTCTTCGCTGTTGTGGATGTTGACATGGTGCATGCTGGTATTCGGCCTTCAGTTAACATAAGACACAAGTGAGCACAGTAGCAAAGTCTGCTGCTACCTTCATGTTAATCAAGGTTACCGTACTGGAGAGAGTGCCAGCACAAACAAATACATCATCGGGTAAGGCAGGGTTATGTTTGCAACAGGACTCCTGGGTTGGCGTACTTGGGTGGTATTCATTTCTCTAGACAGTACTGTGTATATATAAATAAATTAAATTGTTAGTGTTCACAGTTCTGGGGAATGGAAACCAAGTAATTCTTGTATAAATATC